GAATGGCGGTTCTTTTGACTCCCCGAACCGCAGGCAGCCGGAGCGAGCTGCCCGGCCCAGGGCGGAGCGGGTCGAGTTTCGTAAGCCGTAGAAGTGGCTTCTGCCGGAAAAGGAGGACAGGTAACCTAACCGAATATTAGGATCTGGGGGCGGGCGGCTCAGTGGAGCGGTGGGTTTGGCCCTGGCACCTCAGGTTTCTGGGGTCCCCCCTTCCTGGGCCCGCCCCTTCCCTGGCCCCGTCCCTTCCCTGTGCACCTGACCTCTCTGGTCTGGACCAAGTAAGATCCGTGATTGGGCTTTCCGAACGACTCTCTTGGAAAGTCCAGGAAAGCAGTGATTTTCAGACTTTAATATGCACACGAGTCATTTGGGGATTTTGTTGAAACGCAGTCTGTATATTCAGGAATAGCCTGGTAATCTGCGTTTCTTGTAAATGCCCAGATGCCAATGCTGTTGGTCCACAGGCTACACTTAGAACTACAAGGGGTTGAAGTATGAGATGGCAAGTTTCTTGAGCACAAGTTCCTATTTCTTCTAACCCACTTGTTTAATGAAGGTTAATGGCAGATGGTCCATTGGAAAATATCATTGTCTCCACCACTCATAGACTTTTAACCTTCTCCACCCCACTCCAGCCCTACCCCATCCATCACGCCCAGACAAACTTGGTGCAATCTTAGTAAATATTTTATAGTTTGCACTAGAGGCCCGATGCACAAAAATTTGGGCAAGCGTAGGCCTACCTTCCCCCCAGCAGGCACCAGCTTCCCTCCGGCACCGGCTTCCCTCCGGCATCAAGGACTCAGGCTGATTCCCTCGCCCGGCTTTGTCAGGAAGGACTCCGGAATGATGTCTGGAAGACGTCCAGTCTAATTAGCATATTACCCTTTTATAATTATAGATAAGATTGGAGGAGTAGAAACTTAACAATGGCAGCAGATATGCCATTTAAAAAGCGTAAGGTTGTCCTAGCCAGTTTCTCAGTGATTAGAGCATCAGCCCAGGGACTGAAGGATCATGAGCGTGTACCTCGGTTGCAGGCTCCATCCGGATCATGGGGGAGGCAACCAGTCGATGTGTCTCTCGCACATGGATGTTTCTCTCTCTCTCCCCACCTCCCTTCCACTCAATCTAAAATCAATGGAAAAAATACCCTGGATGAGGGGGAGCAGAAGAATACCCTTGGGTGAGGATTAACAACAACAACAAAAAAGCATAAGGTTGCCCTGGCCTGGTGGTTCAGTTGGTTGGAGCATTATCCCGGTACACCAGAAGATTGTAGGTTCCATTCCCAGTCAGGGCACACACCTAAGTTGTGGGTTCCATCACCAGTCCGGGCAAATATAGGAGGCAACCAGTCAATGTTTCTTTCTCTCCCTCCTCTCTCTCTCTCTCCCTTCCTCTCTCTCTAAAATCAATAAAATCATATCCTCAGGTGAGGATTTTAAAAAAGCATAGGTGTCAAAACTGAAAAACTTAAATATTTTAATAATTTTGTGTAATTTAAGTATGTGTTTGGTTTTTTTGTTTTAATTTTCAGGATGTTCTGGTCTTTTCAAGCTACTCAGCTATGGGATGGTATTATTCACTCCCTTCAGACTCAAGTGGAAGTAAAAAGGAGGAGGCATCATTTATGAACATACAAAGACTGTTTTACTGGTTCTGATGATGTTGATGTAGTATTAAGTAAGTCATCTTATGCAAAATATGTGCGTAAGTAGTAATGATCTCTCTCGTCTTAAAGGAGTTCATCTTTGCCAAGTTCTAATGAACCATAAGGTATTTCAACCAGTAGGAGTGAAGCTATTCAAAAATGAGAAAGAATTGGAATTTGAAGATTCAAAAAATAGACTCTATAGGTTTCTAGGCAATAAATCATCTTATTTTTTTGCAAGAGAAAAAAGGATGCTGAGAATGGATTAACACATAAAATAAATGCAAAGGAATCTTTAAAGTTAGTGTTAATCGAAATACTGTATTGTATTTAGATTATGGCAGAACAGTTGTCATTGAGCTAAAATGGAATATTATGCTTTCAGTTTTTTTCAGAAGTCAATAAAAGAAATAACCATGTAAAAATTCAGCATTTCAGCATTTGCTCTAAAACTGTGGTTTAGGACATTAACACAAATTTTGCAGAATTTATACCAGGAAAAACTTTATATCCAACGATGAATTGTATGTTTCCTAATTTTGAAAAATGACTTACCCAAAGTAAAAAAAAAAAAAAAAAAAAGGCAAGGTTTCTGAAACTGTGCAAAAATTTTCTATCATAGCAACAGTGTTCACCTTATAATTATTATTTATAATATATTCTTCTCTTTATTTACAACCCTAATCTGTCCTCTTTTAGTGATATTCTACTATCTAATAACTAGAGGCCCAGTGCACGAATTCGTGCACAGGTGGGGTCCAGCCGGCCCGGCCCCAATCAGGGTGGATCGGAGCCGGGCCTGTCAAGAGGAGGAGATGGCGGGAGGTTGGCTGGCCAGCCTGCCCTGATTGGGGCCCCATCAGGGCCAGGCCAGCTGGGGGGAGGGGCCATGGGCCAATCGGGGTGGTAGGGGCTGATTGGGGGTTGGGCTGGCCATGGGGAGGGGCTATGGGCGGTGGGCCAGCTGGCCATGCCCCAGAATGGGGTGGGGGGGCCAATTGGAGGCCCGAGGCCTGTGGGAGGGGCCATGGGTGGTTGGCAGGCCGGCCCTGCCCCTGATTGGAGTGGGGGGGGCCCCATTAGGGGGCAGAGCTGGCTGTGGGGAGGGGCTGCGGGCCAGCTGGGGTGATGGGGGCCCATCTAGGGTGGGGCCACCCAGGGGGAGGGGCTTCAGGAGGTTGGCCAGCTGGCGCTGCCCCCTATTGGGGTGGGGAGTGCAATCGGGTGGGGCCGGCTGAGGGGAGGGGCCACAGGAGTTTGGCCAGCCGGCCCTCCCCCCATATCGGGTCGGTTCGCTGGCCACAGTGGGCATCATAGCAACCAGTCATTCTGGTCGTTACAGCATTCAGGTGGCTGGCTTTTATATATACAGATTTTATTACTCGTGTCTTTTATTGTAAGCTGCCTGAGATCTTTTTTGGAACTAGGGAATATATGAGTAAGTTTAATAAATTGTTATTTGAAAATTTGGTCCTGTATATAATGGGAAAATTCACATATTATTTCTTAACAGACCAGAAGATGAAATAATTTCAAATCCTCTAGCACAGAAATTGATGAGAAAAGAATTAAGGAACTTATTCATGCAAAGAGTGGGAATCTGGCTTTACCTCCAAATATCACAGTTGACAAACCTGTTCTCCCGCTTTCAAAAGAAGGTAATTTGTTTTCATTTTTTTCAGAGGTTTGTAAGGAAAAACTGACTTTTAAAAAAATAAACTTTATTTTTTAGAACAGTTTTAGGTTCACAGAAAAACTGAGCAGAATGTATAGAGAGTTCCCATATATTCCTGCCCCACAGGCACACAACCTTCCTCACTGTCAACATCCTGCAGCAGAATGGTTGTTGTAATCCATGGACCTATAGTGATTGATCAATGTCAAGTCCATAGTTTACATTAATGTTCACTCTTGGTGGTGTGTATTCTAGGGGCTTTAACAAATGTATAATGACATGTATCTACCATTATAGTATCATACAGAATAGTTTCACTGCCCTAAAAATCCTCTCTGCTTCACCTATCCATCCTTCCCTTCCCCCTAACCCCTGGCAACCACTGATCCTTTTACTGTCTCCAAGAACTGACTTTTCAGATATAATAAAAGTTGTGTTTGGCGTATTGACTCACTGTTCACTTCCCTGTAAAAGTTTCCTTCTACATAGCAATTACGTCAAACAGGACAAGTGAGGCAACTTAGATCCAATAACATTTAGTTTATTTTTTGCAACCATGATCAGATTAACTGGAGGTGCTAAATTCTACACTACCAGTCCTTATTCTTTTTAATCCAATACCATCTTCTACTGAGTGTATCTTCTGTCCATTGTGTAAGCCCCTCCTAAGCATCTCCCTGCCATTTGCCTTTCAAAACAAACTAGCTAAGCTACCTCTTGCTTTACTCCTCTTGACTATATACTTCATTTACTTGTGGTTTTCTCCTTAGTATGTCACTAACAGTGGAAAGAAGAGCCCCGTACCCAGGGCAATTAAGAGGAATGCATACACAATTCATTAATGGTTACACCCTTTATGCATTTGGTCAAACCATGAGAGACGCAAGACAAGCATTGTTTGCACCCTAGAGGAGCAAAGGCTATCAACAAGTTAGAAAAAGTGTGATAAGGGAAATACAGGGTGCCCAAAGAAGGGGTGTGTATGTTCCCCCATGTCCCGCGTGGTTCAGGGTTCAGGATCTGGAAGATGGGCCGCACGCAAATGAAAGAGACAAATAATTTAGAAATATTGGGGGCCAGACGGGCAAGCCCAACTCAAGGGGAAGGACTTCCACTGGTGCCCAGGCCTCACCAGCCTTTTATTCAATCTTGGATACACATCTAGCTCTTAGTCAGGCAGGTAATTGCAGTAACAGGCAGACTATCTTAAAGGTCAGTAAATATTAGAAGGATTTACTCTGAGACTATTTGGTCAGGAAATAACTTGAGCCCCCATTGTCTGGACTAGACAATCGGAGCATAACTCTGGCCCTTGCCATGGGTTCAAGGTTCACCAGCCTTCCAGGATCCTTGTTTGCACTTCTCTGCTAGTGAAGACAATGGGCAGCTTCCTGCAAAGGGGTGTAAAGCAAGCATGTCAAGAGTGAGAAGAGAAGAGGGACTAGGAGAGATCTGAGAAAGACTAATATTTAGAGGATAGGCAGAAGAGGAGGAGCCAACAGAACTATAGTTTTTATCTATTACAAATGAACAAATAACTTGTCCCATCAATTTCCCTTGAGAACACAGGGTACCTCTAGAAATTCCTAACTAAAAATGGATGTAATTAATCCATACAGATGCTGATAAAAATAATTCCCACTTGTTGGACCTTTCTTTGTGCTAAGCAATTTGTTATACATTTTATATTTGTTGCCTATAACAATGGGGTAACGGACTTGGAGGGATAAGTAAATAAGACACAGTAGGGAAGGAAAGCTGGTATTCTTATGTACATTTTGTTAAATGTTTTATTTTTTATATGTGTTATATATGCATGTAATGTAAAACATTCAAAGAATCCTATAGGTTTGGTTACCAAAAAATAGCAGTTCCCTACCCTTCTCCCCACCCATTGCCCTTTCCCCATGACAACCATTTGCAACATATTTTCCATATCTCTAAATAACATGCTTATATTGCTATGTCATGATTTTTCAGTTTTGGGTACTGAAATGATTGTTCATTTTTCCACAGAGGAAATTAGGGTTTTAGGCCTCTTCCTTACCTCTGTCTCCCAAATACTTCAAATAACACATATGCTTTATACTATGTTTTGTGTAATATACTGTTGGGGAAATAAAGAGAAGGAAGGAAAGATGGAAGGATAAAGGGAAGAGGGATGAAGGAAAGGTTCTTGAGGATTATCAAGAATTCATAGAGGCCCTAGCCCAGGGGTCCTCAAACTATGGCCCGCGGGCCACATGCAAATACAAATATTGTATTTGTTCCCATTTTGTTTTTTTACTTCAAAATAAAATATGTGCAGTGTGCATAGGAATTTGTTCATAGTTTTTTTTTAAACTATAGTCCGGCCCTCTGACGGTCTGAGGGACAGTGAACTGGCCCCCTGTTTAAAAAGTTTGAGGACCCCTGCCCTAGCCAATCTGTCTCAGCAGATAGAGCGTCAGCCTGAAGACTGAAGGGTTCCAGGTTTGATTCTGGTCAAGGGCATATGCCTAGGTTGCGGGCTCAATCCCCAGTAGGGGACGTGCAGGAGGCAGCTGATCAATGATTCTCTCTCATCATTGATGTTTCTCTCTCTCTCTCCCCCTCTCCCTTCCTCTCTGAAATCAATAAAAATATATTTTTTTAAAAAAAGATTTCATAGAATATATTTCTTAGGAACCTCATGCAAAGAAAATAGCCAAGAAACACTGTTATGGCTTTGAACTTTGATCTGTGCTATTTTCTCTCATTTTGTACACACACATACACACACACACACACACACAAATTCCAAGTTGGTATGTAACACTGTGTGGGAATGTATAAGATATAAGCACTAAATAAGAAGTCAAAACAAGGACATAGTATTAAGGGAACTTATAATAACTTGGGGGTTGGTAAGATGGCAGATGAGGTTAAGGGGGAATTAAAGGCCTTTCAAAGGCATCATTGTAGGAAGGAAGGAGTGAAAGGATCCTACATTTCTTGTCTTGTTGGGGTGGAGAGAGAAGAAAGGGAAGACAGTGTGTGGTAGGATAAACAGTGCATCTTGTGTGGGGAAATATTTGGTATCGTATTTTCAAATAATAATATTACAACCAAATGCATCTAATTATTGTAGTGGGAAAACAGGGAAACTACTGATGAAATGGAGCAGTACAGATGAATTCATGAAGTTAGAAATAAATAATGAAAAGGTAGCCAAAAATATTTTGACTCCTTGAAAATAAAGGTATAAATGTCCGGCTGTTGTGGCTCAGTGATTGAGCATCAACAACCCATGAACCAAGAGGTCAAAGTTGGATTCCTGGTCAGGGCACATACTCAGGTTTTGGGCTCAATCCCCAGTAGGAGTTGTGCAGGAGGCAGGGGCAGCCAATCAGTGATTCTCTCTAATCGTTGATGTTCCTATCCCTCACTCCCTCTCCCTTCCTCTCTCTGAAATCAATTTAAGAATTTTTTGTCTAAAAAAAAAAAGAAGAAAGAAAATAAAGGTATAGAAAGGTATGGTGGTATTTGGTGAGGAAACAAGCTATTCCCTCTTATTCTCTCCTTCATTCATCCTGCAAAATTTATTGAAATGATTCTCTGAAAAATAGTTTCTTCCTTAGATTTAGTTAAATATAAAATAGGTATGATGATGTTTTATCTAACAGTGCTTTAGGTAATTAAATGGAAATGTTAACCATTGATTTATTTTCTTTTGTATTTTTCCTTCAGGATTGACACCTGGCTTAATGCAGCATTGAATGCGTGGAGTATTTCCCTGACCAGTTCGTCGTTTCAGTTAGTCAGCAGTTCGTGCAAAACAGAAATGAAGAGACAAGACTGAATAAACAGAAGAAGATACTCTTTGATGTCATAGTAAAATATTATAATCAAGAGAGATATTGCCTGTTAACTGATGAGTATTTTGATATGCGTTCAGGAATTATTGAACTTTTAGGTAAGAAATGATGTTTAAACTTTAATTTTTTGCATAATAAAACTTTTTTTTCAGCAAGGCAAATATCTCTACTCTTGCAGGAGGGTGCCTACGCACATGGTCTGGGAGCACCCACACGCTGAGTGGGCAGTCCACTTGGCTTTTTAATCCTGATGCATGTGACCTGTCCCTTACTCTTGATTGGAGCTTAGGCTCACAGTCTTTTGTGATTGGCTAGCGTAATAAAACTTTTTAAAGGTACAAATTGAAGAAATGTTATATATTATATGAGTGTAACATTTTAATATTTTCTTCTGTGGTGTCAGGGTACTGCATGGAGTCTTTTTTCACTTCACTAATGTTGCCTGCCATGTAAATTGTACCATCCAATATAACTAACTATAGAACATTATATCAACGGTAATTACATCACAGGGACATTCTAAGAAACATATTTTGATATAATACAGGATTAGAAAACTGGTATTTAGTGACCTTTTAGCAAAACAAAAATTGAGTTATATAGTATCACAACTTTTTTAGCTATATAGGTGGCCATATAATTCCATGTTGAAAACAAAATACTGTTTGATAATGGTAGATGTAATTACACAGGTGTTTGGCATATATAGAATTATATAAATAATTTCCTCTGTGTTTTAAATATTTCATAACAAAAATTTCTAAGTGGTGAAAAAAAGAATCCACAAGCCAAATACGTACAGCATCATAGCATTTTAATTGGCTACTAAATTCTATAATCTCCATTTTTTGTCCCATGCTTTGTCATCTTGGTAATCCATGTAACAGAAAATGAGAAAAGAACAGAAGCACTGGAGGCAACACAACTCTATCTAAGATTGTTATTGCCCAACATTAGAGAAGAATTAGGATGGCTACTTACTTTTATGGCTATCGCATCAGAGCCTAATGCCTGCAAGTTACAAAAACAGGCAACAAAATATTACAATAACAATTTTCGGCTATTACTTTTAAAAACTGTTCAGACAGACAACAATGTAGTGATTGCTGGGGGGAGAAGGGAGAGAGGTGATCGGGGAGGGTAAAGGAGAGATAAATGGTCATGGATGGAGGCGATGGAGACTAGACTGGGTGGTAAACACAGAACAGTGCACAGATGATGTGTTGTGGAATTGTGCACCTGAAACATGTATAACTTTGTTAACCAATGTCATCCCAATAAATTCAATAAAAAGGAAAGAAAAACTGTTCGAGCTAATGTAATCTTTCTGTTTACAGTATGATAACAAAACGGTTGTCCTGAAAACTCGTGCCAAAGCAGTTTTTCAAACCAAATCATTATCAAAAGTACAGGCAGAACAAGTCATCTGGTTTCTACTGGAATATCACTCTGAGCTCTTCAAGGTATCTGGCATTTTGCCTGGGCACATTTAGTGCCAAGCTATTTCTGTTCAGCAAAAAGGCAAGTAATTCACTTAATAAATAATCTATTCAGTGCCTGTATTGTGCAAAGTTTGAAGGAATGCTGTCTTCCCCTACCCACTAAAGAGAAGGAAGCAGACTTAATGTCAATATTTGAAAATATATTAATTCCCTCAACCCATTTCTGGTGCATTACTATGTGCCAGGCATGGTTTTATTTAGGCATTTAGAATACATCAGCAAACAAAACACGAAGATGTAGATCCTTGAGGAGCTTATATCCAGGTGAGCATGACAGACAATAAAATAATACACACAATCATCAAGTCAATTCATATAGTTTGATAGGGGGCAATAAATGCAATAGAAAAAGAGCAGGTTCAGAGGATTTATGGGTGCTAGAGTGGGGATGACTGGGAACTTACAGTATTAAACAGGGTGGCCAAGATTGGGCTCAATGAGAGAGTAAAATTTCAGCAAAGACTGAAAGAGAGTCAACCAAATGGCTGTGGGGGTGGGAATCATGGTTTGGGGGAGAGAGATTGGGTCCTAGAGCAGAGGCCCTGGAGGTGACCCAACCCATTTTTGAGTGCTGAAGTGGTGAGCAGAATGGAAGGTAGTAGGAAATGAGGTCAGAGATGTGGGGGCCCTTGTAGGCCATCGGTGAGACTTTGCTACTCCTTGGAATAAAATGGGGAATCACTGGAGGGTTTGAGCAAAACAGTGGTCTGATATGAGTGACATTTATAAAGATAGATGTGTCTTTTGTGTTGAGAATAGATTGTTGAGGGGCAAGGGTAAAAGCAGGAACACCTTTAGGAGGCTGTTGTAATAATCTAGGCAAGAGATATAGTGACTTGAAACAGAAGGGTAGCAATAGAATTAGTAAAATGTGGTCAGATTTACAAAATATATCAAGAAAATGATTAAATGATTGTTTTTTAGCCTCGCTACTATATTTTAGTACTGACTCGTACTTTTAGTGGTATTTCTCCAAAGCCTGTACAAAAAAATTGTTTCCTTCCCTTTTTTTTTTTTTTGCTTAAAAAATTTGTCTCATGTCATAAGAAATAAATATTGGTTCAAATTTTGTAGTTCTGTCAACCTTAACTGAAGTTTCTTTTCCATTATTTCAGAGAAAAAGGTGGTAATTAGAATATACAAGAGGCAGTCCCCATATTATGAATTTTGAATGAAATATATTCTAGAAACTCATTTGTAAGTCAGTTGTTATGTTCTACACATAGTTGTTTTTGTTTTTATCAAAATCCCATATAATAAAAGGCTAATATGCAAATCAACCAAACAGTGGAATGACCGGTCGCTATGATACACACTGACTACCAGGGGGCAGACGCTCAACACAGGAGCTGCCCTTTGGTGGTCAGTGCTCTCCCACAGGGGGAGCGCCGCTCAGCCAGAAACCTGAGCTGGGCTCAGGGCTAGTGAGCTCAGCAGTGCAGCGGCAGTGGCAGTAGCCTCTCTCACCTCCGTGGCAGCACTAAGGACCCCTCAGGGGATGTCTGCCAGCCGGCTTAGGCCCATTCCCCTGCAAGAGGGCGCAGGCTGGGCTGAGGGACACCCCCCTCCCCCCAGTGCATGAATGTCATGCACTGGGCCTCTAGTATATAATAAATGGCCTGGCTAGTGTGGCTCAGGGGTTGAGCGTTGACCTATGAACCAGGAGATCATGTTTAATTCTGGTCAGTGAACATGCCCAGATTGTGATTCCCAATAGGGCGTGTGCAGGAGGCAGCGGATCAATGATTCTGTCATCATTGATGTTTCTCTCTCTCCCTGTCCCTTCCTCTCTCTGAAATCAATAAAAATATTATATACTTCATATATACATATATATATGATAAATGGAGGTTGGGGAGCCCAGGTTACACAAATGTTTAATTCTACAGTCACTAAATCAAAACTCATGTCTATAGTTTACTTGTAAATTGAGTCCCAGATTTCAACTAGGAATTTAGAAAGAACATTTCCTCTCCCTCTTCCTTAGCACTTAGCCTCCCCACTTTCTTTTTTTCTCATCCTGCCTCCTCCCCTGGGTAAATGAATTCTCTTTCCTACATACAGGCAAGAAATTAGAAAGGACTTTTTCATTTTATGACCTTCCCTTCACGTCAGAGTGAGCAGTGTTATAATGAAACATACTGGCTTAAATTTGGCAGCAGGCCACAAAGGAGAAAAGGAATTGGCGTGGGCTGAAGGAAGTGCGAATGTGGGATTCAGGAAGCCGGGAGAAGCCCTCTCATGACTGCTTTCTGGAGATTAGGGCAGAAGGTATTTCAGGGAGGCTGAGATGGCAGCATTTATAATGGAGGCTCTCAAACGTGCCAAGTTTTTTCCTGTTACGGAGCTTTTTCTATGCTGTCTACTATCTGTCTGGAACATTTTTCTCCCAAATCTTCTTAAGGCTCACTCCTTCCCATCTCTTCAGGCCTCTGCTTACAATGTTACTCTCAGCAGAAGCCCTTCTCAAGTAGGATGGCTACCCATTGTCTTCACTCTAGCTTGTTACCCTGCTTCATGCTTACTCAATGGCACTAACACTACTTGAAAATAGATGATGTATTTGCTGATTTTTTATTTTTTTGTGGTTTTGTTTACTTATTTATTTATTTGCAGGGTTTTTTTTTTAAATTGTCTTTCTCTTCCATGAGACTGTAAGCTCCAAGAGTTCAGAAACTTGATCTGGTTGTCACCTAAAACATAGCAATCACTCACTAAATTTTTACAGAATGAGAGAATGAATTAATGGAGACAGCTTCATGATTTGAAATTGGTAAGAGTATAGAAGCTAATGTAAAGGCAGCCTGGGGTGCAGCATGAAGAAGCTGTGTAGACAGGAGGTTCAGCATTGGTAGGTGTAGGGATGCCCTCTGTAGCAATATTAGCTGAGGGATACATGTTGTAGTCTGGGAATACCTTTGTGTAACCAAAACCTGGAAAAGGAGCATTTATCCATTTTAAGATGATAATGTTTTCATGTATTTTAGAGCTACTATTTACATACTTACCATGTAATTACAATGTAAGATTATTTAGATCAGGGCTACTTTAGAACCATAATTTTTTACAGAACATTACACTAATGACTGCTTAACCTAGTTTCAGATGTAGTTCACACATGAAAGTAGACAATTGTAAGAATTCTAAAAAAATTTCAAGAATTCATAACTTTTATAATTCAGAGGTCTGCTGCCCACCCCTTCTCCCCAGCTGGAATGTTTTCCCGACTCATTGGTCAAAACCATTAAGTTTTTATCTATGTTTCTGGATAGGAAAAAAAAATCATCTATACTAATAATAGGGTAACATGCAAATTAAAATATATTTTTTTTAAAAAAATTTCAAGAATTCATACCTTTTATAATTCAGAGGTCTGCTGCCCACCCCTTCTCCCCATCTGGAATGTTTTCCCCGACTCATTGGTCAAAACCATTAAGTTTTTATCTATGTTTCTGGATAGGAAAAAAAAATCATCTATACTAATAATAGGGTAACATGCAAATTGGTCGGGACTCCGTCACAATAACGACCAGTCAGCAGGCTGTGTGCGCAGCAGGCGCGGATGGGCAGGGACTTGCAACATCAGGGACAAGGGTGGGGCCGCGGCAGAGAGGCCACTCTGCCGCGGCCCCGGCCGAGGGTCCATAGGTGCGCAGAGAGGCCCCTCCACCATGGACCCGGCCTGGGGATCCGCAGGCCTCCCCAGGCTCCGGCCTACCTTTTTGGGGCAATCCATCAAGGAGCCCCAGATGGGTGGGCGGGGCCTACCTCTTTGGGGCAATAGATCACGGGGCTCCCATACTGTGACAGGGCACAGGCCAGGCTGGGGGAACCCCACACACACCCCGAGTGCATGAATTTTGTGTACCGGGCCACTAGTATTAAATATTTGAAAATCCCTTTTTATGCAGACACCAGTTACTTTATTGGACCTGGTTAGTAAGAAACTGAAGAAGCTTTTGCATGGAAAAGATCCAGATGCCGTATCAGGTATTGATTCAGACTTGTTCCTTTTTTTATCAGTGATAGTTATAGCCAAGTAAGTTGGGTGGGACCGAGTATGTAATACAAATATAATGTTATACACGGTGGTTACATTCAGGCTACTTGTTAATATCTCCAGAGCAAGTTCTCTAGTTTTTCTTTTGGAAGCTCTTTGGTTAACTTTCTTCTAAAAAGGTGAACATTTTCTCTCATTCTGCTCCCAAGTCTCACCTCCCCTTCAGCATATCACCCACTGCCGCTTTTCCTGCTCCTGCCCTCTTTGTTGTTTCTTTTTCTGACTCTGAGTCTTCCTATTGTTTTTCATTCTCTCTCCCCCTCCCTCCTCTCTTTTAGGAAATGACCTAATTTTACAGAGGAGGAGCCTGGCCGGCAGTTGAATAGGCTCCAAGATTTTTTTCACTCAGTGTCCTCTGGCAGTTCAGCTGATTCCCTAATTTAGGATTTCTTTAAACTAAAAAAATAGTTTTAGTGCAAATTTCCAAAGATTGTCATGTGAGAGACAAAATAGCATAATTGCCATAAGTGGGTTATCAGGGCCAAATTGCCTGGGCAAGTCATTTAACCTCTTTATGCCTCAGCTTCCTCGCCTATGAAATGGGAAAAATAGTAGCAACTACTTCATCGTTTTATAACTACTTCTTAAAGTAGTTATAAAATACTTAATATTTAAATTAATAATATATTGTAAACTATAAATATTAAATACTGCTAATGTTTAATATTAGTTGACACTGATGGTGAGCCTACTATGTGTCAGGCACCAACATGGATTTATGAAATTATTTCTTCTATACAATAATCTATGTAGGTATTAGTATTATCCCATTTTTATAAATAAGATAACTGAAGCTTAGAGAGGTTAAGTAACTTGGCCAACTAGAAAAGTAGTCAACATTTTTTTCTTTTAAAAGATGGTTTCTAAGGCATTACTAATTTTTAGAAAAAAACATTCATGGAGTAGGGCATACATTTATTTGCCTGAGTTACTGGGATTTCTCAGCTAATTTC